CTAGACAACAACTAAACAACCCTAGGTCTTTTAAGTAACGAGGAGCCTAATTCCGCCGACAGCGAAAAACCGTCGCCATACGTTGGTATCTTGAGGAAAATTTCGTCGAAAGAGCAGGTAACAAAAATCTGCTACATTCAGTTAAAAGCGTCATGAGACTTCAAGGCCAAGCTGCAGATATCAGGTAGGGTAGAGAGAAGCACACGTATTTGGGCTTTGCAAGCATGAATAGAAGAGGGGAAGGGAGTGTAGGGGCCTAGCAGGATGACTGGAGAAACACACAACCATGATAGTTCAGCTGCTTCGGGCGAAGGAAGCATATTCATGGAGTTCTGACGACCATGATGCCGACACAGTTACCGTCGTTCGCCGTTCGCAAATTCGCTAGACTGTGCGTGCGAAAGCTGTTCGTGGATGGATGAGGCTTGACAGTGTCGTGAATGGTGCGGGCAAGCAGACCTTGAAGCAGGGAGCGATTGGATGGATGGGAGGATTGCGAGGTGATGTCAGCTGTGATGTCACCAATGATGTCACTGCTGATGTCAGCGGAGATACCAGCTGAAGGGCCAACCAGCAGTCACAACACAACAGACAAGCACCACGCTCGTGTGGTTGGATGACGTGGCAAAGGCGATGCCGCACCCGGGAATGGTAACGGGGGGGTCACTTCTGGAGGTGCCTTTTCAGAAGCCCAAGCGCTCGTTGGTCGACGACGAGACGAATCGAAGGTGGAATTCGCAAATCTCGCTTGAAGCACAATTTCAACAAGCCCAGCGAAAAATAATGTACACCCAAACTGAAACTAAACACATAGACAACGGAATGTGCTTTCAGCGGAGTACGTAGGACTGTCATTCTGGGTCAAACAGGCGAGTAGGCGGGTTACTACTAGATTCTAAAGCCCTAGTTGATCAAAACGCCATGGGTCGGACGTCCAAGGATAAAAGAGTAAGCCGTTCGCTTTATGGCATGTCACTAATGTCCTCTCGCCCGTCTTTCACTCACCGTATCTTCACTCCCACCCATCAATGGCCCGTCATGCACTCTTGCGGTTGTATCGTTCTCTCCTCGTACACGCACGCATCACTGCCGTCGCCTAGGCTTAACCGTCTTTTTCGTGGTTGCGACCCGGGCTGCAGGACATTTACTACCGCAAGGCCAAGGAGGAAGGCTGGCGGGCCCGCAGCGCGTTCAAGCTGCTGCAGATCGACGAGGAGTTCGACATCCTCAACGGTACGGTACAGTGCGGTGCGGTATAAAAAAGTAAGCCAAACTGTTTGTATGGGTCGGTGCGGTAGAGGATCTGATGGAAGCTGTTGGTTCAGGGTTCAGGTTTAGAACAGGGCTTTCAGGTGTTCAGGTTGGTTGGGTTCGGTACGTCACGAAGGGGACTGCTCGTTTTCCATTGGCTGTCAGTGTCGCCAGGTTCTCTGATCCAGCCGTGCATGCATGTGCGCTCCTGTTGTGCGGTGCAGGTGTGTCTAGAGTGGTGGATCTCTGTGCCGCTCCAGGCAGCTGGTCGCAGGTCAGCTCTCCATCCATTCCCTCCCTCTCCCCTTCCGCTCACTCCCTCTTTATTCCCTCACTCCCACTTTCTCCCCCTCGATTCCCTTATCCCCTCTCCATCCCCTCACTCCCTCTCCACGTCCGCAGTCCTCTCCACCCCTGCATTTCCCCTCCTTGCATTGAATGCCACTTCGTCCATCACAGGTGTCCCGTGTCCCCCTCTAGTCGTGCCCCTTGCCTACCTGCTCCCCCCTTTCTTCCATCAGAACCATTAAATGCCTGATGCCCACTTATCAAGCATTCCTCGCTTACTTAAAAGTAGGCTGTAATTCACTCTGTGTCCCTCCTCTCATATGCGTGGACTGCCAGTTTTCCACATTGTCCCTCCGCGTCTCCCTGCCTTATCTTCTCTCCAGGTGCTGAGTCGCCGTGTGTACCTTCCAGCAAAGAAGGGTGCAGAGGAAGCAGCCACTGCAACACGAGCATCAGCGGCAGCACAATCCCCTTCACTGCTCCCACCTCTAGCACCAGCAGCAACAGCAACATCGGCAACAGCAGCACCAGGGGAGGAGGATACAGCAGCACAGGAGCAACAGCAGAGCGGTTCGGGTTTTGGCCGGGATGGTGAAAGGGGCACAGGGGGCGGTGGGGAATCAGGGAGTGAAGGAACAGAGAATGCGAATGCAGAAGCGGAGGTGATGACAGGGACAGAAGGAGCCAGTGCAGGAGCAGCAGCAGCGGAGCTACCTTTAATCGTGGCCATTGATCTGCAACCAATGGCTCCGATCGAAGGCGTGATTCAGATTCAGGGGGACATCACGAGTGCCGCCACCGCTCAGTTGGTGAGGGCCAGACCAGGTTTCATGAGAGACAGCTTTGCAAAAATATTCTGTGGGACGGTTTATGATTGAAGGACGGTTTATGATTGTGCACGTGTGTGTGCATGTGTGTGCATGTGTGTGCATGTGTGTGCACGTGTGTGCACGTGTGTGCATGTGTGTGCACGTGTGTGCACGTGTGTGCATGCAACTGCCATGGCAGGTCATAGATCACTTCAAGGGCCGTCAAGCGGATCTTATCATATGCGATGGAGCTCCTGATGGTATGTGTGCTCCTTCACCCTCCTCTGGCTCATCTCCCATCCTCTCCTCTCTATGAAGCTTGTTTTGCATTGATCTCCCTCCCGCACCTCAGTCCACTCTGTGCCTGCCATCCTTTCTCCCCCCTCTCCCCTGTGCTGCAGTCACCGGTCTCCATGACTTAGATGAGTTCGTGCAAGCACAGCTCATCCTCGCTGTAAGCTGCTCCACTGCACCACTGCTCCATCATTCCATGCCCATCCGCTAACCATCTGCTGCCCCTCATTCCTGTGCTTTACGCTCACGTGCTCCAAATCACCTCCCATAGTCTCTTCAATGTCAGCCTGACCTGAAATGGTTCTTGCTCCTGAAGCCCTTAACGTGCCCAATGCCTGTCACTCATGCCCGTTCCTTTCATGCCTCCGTGCCTGTTCCCCTCTCTCCTCCTCCCTCTCCCTCCGCCCCCCTCCCCCGCAGGCGCTAGTAATAGTGACGCACACGCTGAGGCCGGGGGGTTCGTTTGTTGCGAAGATATTCCGGGGCAAGGACATAAGCCTGCTCTACTGCCAGCTGCGTGTCTTCTTCCACCATGTCACCTGCGCCAAGCCCAAGTCCAGCCGCAACTCCTCCATCGGTGCGCACTCTCTTTTGAGTCGTCTCAAAAGCCGTTTACTTACTGCCAGCTGCGTGCTTTCTTTCTCCATGTCACCTGCGCCTATCCCAAGTCCAGCTGCAACTCCTCCATTGGTGTGCACTTGTCTATAGCTCGTGTGCTACTTCAGAAATACCTTTGAAATCCTTTTTTTTATTTGCCTTGTGCTTCCACTTTTGTTGCCCTTCTACTGTTTCACACCTGCTTGCATCCCTGCCTGTTTTCCTGCTGTGCTGTTTCCTTGCTCTCCTGCTTTCGCTTCACCACTCGGTCGCTCTTTCCGTCCTGTCCCTCCTTTACTATAGCAGCAACTAGCGCTTCGTCCCTCCTCTTCCTCCCCACCCACCTCTTTTTCCTCCCACACTCGCTATCCTTTTTAACCTCCACCTCTCCTCTTGCTCCATCTTCCACCATCTCACTCCCATCCCTCCCGTCCCTCCGGTCCCTCCCCTTCTCCATTACCCCACCACCACACCACCCGTGTGACACCAATGACAGAGGCCTTTGTGGTGTGTCGGGGGTACCACCCACCAGAAGGATTCCACCCGTCGCGGCTGAGGGAAGTGTTGCATGGCACTGCCGCCAGTGCTGCCGGGAAAGCAGCTGCCCTTGGCTCAGGTGGGAATGGGGAATAGGGGTAAGGGGGACTAGGGGGACTAGGGGGACTAGGGGGACTAGGGGGACTAGGGGGTTGAGGTAGGGAAAGAGGGACTGGGTGAGAGAGATGCTTGTATGGTTATCTCTGATCACCCATTCATACTCCTCTGCTCTCCCTTTTTTCTCATTCTCCCCTCTTGCCCCAATCTCAGACTGTCTGTCTGCAGGACTGGACGGCCCAGATCGGCTGTTTGTGCCCTTCCTAGCATGCGGCGATCTCTCAGGTTACGACGCCGACCAGTCGTACCCACTCAACCTCCCCTCTGCAAACTCACACCCTCAGTCTCACTCCGACTCGCACGCACAGACAGACAGTGCAGTGCCATACCGGCCTCTAGCACCAGTGCAGCCACCCATAGCGCCAGCATACAAGACAGCACTAGAGAGACAGAGGCAGGGAGCAAGGTGACAGTCGATTCCACTGAAAGCTTAACCCACATCGTCGGAGGAAGAGGATGGGCGCAGGGCAGGTGAGGAGGCAGCGGCAGAGAATGAGAGGGGAAGCAGGAGTGTTTTCAGTGCCTTGGCGGTCTGTGCTTGTTGGTGTGCAGTGCATCAGCTGTTGACACTTGAAAGTTTCAGCTCGTTGTTATTGCGGCTCGTTCAAGTTAAGCCAGGAGGCTCTACACTCTTGGTTGTCTGAGCCCAGCCTGTGGGATTGGGTTGGAAGCATTATTCGGGGAGCTGTGAATGACTGACAACACTGGTTGATGACATAGCCTGTTTTGTGCAGTGGAAGGTGTGCTGTGCTTTGCCTGCCAATGTGAGGATGGGTACTGGTATTTGTCTGGATGTATAACATAAATAAGCACGACAATGGAGAGACTAGCAATCAAGGGAGCAAGCATCTGCAATCCAAGGCCTCACATTCACCCCCAAACCCAGCAAATGCCACCAGGAGCAACGCAGACAAAGTCACTCTTGCCTCCTGCAATCATCACGGAACATCCTTCTCCTCACTTCACTGAGAGCCAAGGCAAGCAATCCCTCCTCGCCACAAGCGACACGTCTTGGTATTTCATTAGCACCACCAGTCACAGGCCCCACCATCAGGCATTCCCCCAACCCAACTACGGTAGCGATCCTGACACACCCCACCCCACCCCTTAGCGCGAGATCGGCTGCACCACGAGAGGAGAGCGCACGCTGTGCCCCTTGTCGTCCTTCCACACAATAAACCCGTACTTGAAGTCATTGCTCGGTTTGTCCACCGTGACTGTGAGCGTGTAATTCGCCTTCTGTCCCGGAGCAAGCGTGAAACTCCTAGGCGCTACAGCCACCTTCACGCCCTGGGGTGCCTTCCCAGATACACTGTATGTGGACACACAGCTGCCAACGCACGTCACTGTCCGGGTGACTTGAACAGAGCCCTGCAGGCGAGGCAGAGTGATGGTGGGAAGGTTCAGATTTCGCACAGCGAGAGGGGTGAGAGACGCCCCTGGGAACTCCTTCTTCGCCCGGTTCGCATCCTGCCCGGCCAGGAAATTCTGGTAGTCTTTCTCTCGAACGTCGTATGTGAGACCAGGGTCGAGCATTGCAGGCGGGAACACATGCCCTGCGCCCATCTCCCACGGGGTCGCGTCTCTTTCACCCGACCCTGCACTCTTGATCGGGTTGTTGCTCGTGTCAGTCACCCGTGCCGTCGTCATCAGCGCTGACATGACCTGAGCTGGGGTCCAGTTGGGGTACTTCTGGATGATTAACGCGGCTAGCCCCGCCAAATGCGGGGTAGACATGGAAGTACCCGAGAGGCGGGCGGTCGTGCCCGGCTCACCGATTTTCTTTGAGGGAAAAGCGGCTAGAAGGTCAACGCCAGGCCCAATGATATCAGGCTTGAGAATGCTGTTTGCTGGCTGCGGGGGCCGGGCTGTGGCAGAGGGCGGTAAGAGGGGCCCACGAGAGGAGAAGTCAGCAACCATTGGAGCAGAGGAGGCAGCGGTGAAGGTGATTCCCCCGTCGGCAGTGAGTGTGGCGCTGCTGTCGCCTGCGCTGTTGCTGCCGTTGCTGCTGGCGATGGCGTTGAGAGGGTTTAGGGATTGAGTGGCAGCGGTCGAAGCTAGGGACGCTCCCTTTGCGATGGTGCTGCAGGAGATGATGGGACGAGAGGAGGGCGGAATGGGAGAGAAGGGGGTTCTAGTATGAGCCACATGGGTGAAGGCACATGCAGCAGCAGTAGGTATCACGGCTAGCAACAACAACGCTAATGGAAACAGCCGAGTTGCAAATGAAGCTTGTACCGCAGTCAACGTTTGGAGCATGTCAGATGATCTGACATATGCAAAGGCAGGCACTGCTACTACTGTGCATCACACGAGTCAAACTATTAGAAACCCCGACAGCGGCAGCTTACCTGGCGCCAACGCTGAGGAAGAAAGGAGAGAAATTGTCCACCGTGCGGTAACCGCCCCCTCCCGACTGACCGGGGGGTCCTGCATTGCCCGCAGCAAAGGCCACAAACACGCCCGCAGCATTGGCTCTCAGGTATGTGAGGTCGTTGAAATAGTTGTCGTTGGGATCCGCGGCCCCCAGCGAGAGGGAGAGCACATCCACGCCATCCGCCACGGCCTGATTAACGGCTGCGGCGATGTCTGTCTCCGTGCCGTAATGGCCCCCCTCGCTGTCCGTCCAGAAGATTTTATACACCGCGAGGCGCGCTGCAGGCGCCATGCCGCTCATCTGCCCGCCGCCCTGCATGCTCACAGGGTTCCCCGCCGCCGCGCCCGCGCACCACGTGCCGTGACCGTCCCCGTCGCGTGGCGAGAGCCAGTCGTTTTTCAGCGAGGGTTTGCCGCTCAACTGCTGAAACCCCGCGTAGAACGCCTTAGCGCCAATCACCTTGTTGTTGCACCGGAACGAGCTGGACTGCTCGCATTTACCCTTCCACCCGGCCGGGAGTTTCGAGCGCATCCCTTTATCGCTGAAAGAGGCGTGTTCGGGCCAGATGCCTGAATCTATGATCCCCACAACCGTGCCTTCGCCTGCCTTACTCTGCCCCCCAAGCGCCGGCCACACCTTCCCAGGGAGCCCGAGGAATTTGGGCGAATCGGTGGTCTGGCGGCGGAACACGCGGCTCGGGCGCACGGACGCGACGTCAGGATGGCGTTGCAGCCGCCACACCTGGAGCGGTGTGAGCCGCGCCGCGAAGCCGTTGGATGTGTGCTTGTAGCTGTAGATCAGATCCGCGTCGAGTACGCCCGCCTCAGATGCGACCTGCGCCTGCTGCCGCTGGAGCAGCGACGCGAACGCCGCCACCTGCGGCCGGTCCATGCTCAGCCGCATTCGGTGCCGCGCGCGCCAGCCGTTTCCAACGTCACCTGACGCCGCCGTGCCGTCAGTTGCGTTGGGCCCTGAGAAGGCGGAACTCCAGGGATGATCAACGCCGCTATCAGTGCTACGAGACGTTGTGTCATCCAAGTCCACGGCTTCGTGCTTTGCCGCCCTCGAAGACGCTGCAAGATCCATCTCCGGTACAGCTTCTTCGTCGTCCTCTTCATTCTCATTGCTGCCGTCATCCCACGTAGCAGTGGCGGGGTAGCCGGCGATTCCTCCGCGGTATTCGACGAGCGGTGGCGCGGAGCTCAGGCGGACGATGTATATGGACCCGCTGCCGCCACTGCCGCCGCCAGTCGTGGGAGCTTCACGAGGCTGGAACCCTCCGCCGTCGCGCCACTCTCTGATCGCACAGGATGGCTGTGCAGCTAGCAACAGCGCGCCAAGTATCATCAGCAACATCGCAACGGTAGGACCGTGCCGGGCCATGTTGATCAGCTATGACAGATTCTATAGTAAGCGCACGATTGTTTCGACTACAAACGCGGAGTTGCTTCGAGAGGAACAAACAGGATTCAGATGACCTGAATCGATTGTGCGAGGCTGCGTGTTTTATCTCTCCCTTCCACCCTCGGGTTCAACATTTCATTTGGGTTGTGTCGCATCGCATCGTGTGCGGCACGGCGTTTGCAGGGATGACGAAGATCCGGTGAAGGTCTGAACCGAAATTTACAGAGGTGGATAGAGCCTGCAACTCGAGCAAGAGAAAATGGATGGTGAATCTGGGCTGTGTACGGTACGGGTCAATCAAAGCCTCCGAATCGCAGTCGGACCAGAATAGACGAATCGCGCCGCGCTGGTAACCCGAGCGGGTAATCTAGTACAGCTGTTCGCCGAGCCCATATAACTACCCATGTACATGAAGTCCAGTTCTATTATTCTTACACTTGAAGACACATGTTGCAAGGGGGGGGAAGGACAGGTGGTCGATTGAGACAGTCCTACAAATAAAAATACGTACTATGTAAACAGGGGATGTGACCACTAGCCGCCACCACCACCACTATTAGATGTTGGTCGACAACACCGAAACTATCAAACTATGCTTGTATAAATATATATGTTGTGGTGAGTTGCATGTTAGGAAATAAGAGGTGAAGCAGGAGTGTTTCCAGTGCCTTGGCGGTCTGTGTTTGTTGGTGTGCAGTGCATCGGCTGTTGACACTTGAAAGTTTTAGCTCGTTGTTTTTGGGGCTTGTTCAAGGGTAGCCAGTAGGCTTCACTGACTGACACTCTTGGTTGTCCCCGCCTGTGGGATTCGAACCAGCATTTGGGGGGGTGTCAAGTGAATGACCGACAACACTGGTTGATGGCATAGTCTGTTTTGTGCACTGGAAGGTGTGCTGTGCTTTGCCTGCCTGTGTGGACAGGTATTTGTCTGAATGTACTGCTTAAATAATCAGGCCAATGGAGAGAGTAGCAAGTAAGTGTGCAAGCATCCGCTATCCAAAGCCCCACATTCACACTTCACTCCCCTTTATATTCCACCTATCCCCAAAACCCAGCAAATGCCACAAGGAGCAGCAATGACAACCGTCACACCAACACTGAAAATGGTACTCTTGCCTCTTGCAACCGCCAACCAACACCTGTCAGAATGTGTTATTTGTCTAGTCTACAGTGGGGTACTCTATAGTGAGTACAGCCCAACTAGGGTTTGCTATATGAATCCCATTGCTTGCTAGTGAATACCCTCTTCTGGTCTTCTCATTCCTGGTTGCTATCTTGACATGCTATCAGAGCGTCTACGCTCCTGGCCTGTGGGCCCACCTGCTTTTTCTTCCCGCCATGCGCTCGGGGCGCGTAGCGGTTTTCTGCCCGCCGCGCGCTCGGGGCGCGTGGCGGTTTCCTGCCCGCCGCGCGCTTGGGGCGCACGGCGGTTTTCTGCTCGGTGCGTCGGCTCGTGGGACCCGCGCGCCGTCCCTGCTGGACCCGCGCGATGCCTTGCGGGACCCGCGCGCTGCCCTGCTGGACCCGCGCGCCGCCCCCGTTGGACCCGCGCGACGCCTTGCGGGGCTCGCGCACTGCCCCGCTGGACCCGCGCGACGCTCTGCGGGACCCGCGCGCGGCCTTTACTGGACCCGCGCGCTGCCCCGCTGGACCTGCACGCCGCCCCTGGGGACCCGCGCGCCGCCCCTGGGGACCCGCGCGCCGCCCCTCCTGGACCCGCCTGCCGCCCGTGCCCTGCCCGTTGCGAGCACCCCACAGCCCACCCGCGCCCTGCACGTCGCAACGCCGCCCGCCCTCTCCCCTCCTCCTTCGACTTCCTGCTGCCCGTGCAGCCGTGTGGAGGGTATGGGGGTGGCGGGGGTAAGGGGGGGTATGGGGGTGGTGGGAGTGCGTGACCAGCTGCCCCTCCTCCTCCTCCGTCTCCCACTGCTGCAGCTGCCGCTGAGGGGGGTGGGTGTGTGGGAGCCGAGGGAGTGACGCTAGGGGGGTGTCGTGGGAGTGGAGCTAGGTGTGCAGCAAGGGGTGTGTGAAAAGGGTGTGGGACAGTTGGGGGAGGTTGAACGGAGGTAGCCGTCGTGACGACAGCAGAGCCGGTAGTCCGGGGGTCACCCTTGCTCCGGTAGCCCGGCGAGCCTGCTGCGCCAATCGCCCATGGGTCCGTTGCTCCAGCCGCTCGTCTTAGCCGCGGAGCCAATGACTTCAGTAGTCCGGATACCCTTGCTTGGTCCGGTAGCCCGTGCGCGCCGCTTCTGTTGCCCGTGTGTCTACCGCTTCACCCGTCGCCTCCTATCTCCACTCCTCTCATAGTCCCTCCTCCTCCTCACTTGCCCTCTATGACTGCCTCTAGTTTTGCTTGTGCTTGTGAACTTTTTATACAAATGCTTGCTGTGCTGATCATACCCCACTTTGCCTATGGGGGTGTGTCAGAATGTGTTATTTGTCTAGTCTGCGGTAGGGTGCTCCATAGTGAGTACATCCCAACTAGGGAATACCCTCTTCTGCTCTTCTCATTCCTGCTTGCTATCTTGACAACACCTTCTCCTTTCTGCAAGCAACAGAGAGAAGGCAAGCAATTCCTCGTCACAAGAAAGACATCTTGGTCATTTGCAACAGTCACAGCACCACCACCATCAAGCAATCCCCCAACCCCAATGCTGTACATACTATTCTGGCACACCCCACCCCACCCCTTAGTGTGAGATCGGCTGCACCACGAGATGAGAGCGCACAGTGTGCCCCTTGTCGTCAATCTACGCCATATACCCGTACTTGAAGTCATTGCTGGGTTTATCCACCATCAATTTGACCGTGATAGTCGCCTTTTGCCCCAGAGCAAACGTGACAACAAACAACAGACAACAGACAACTGCACACCTAGAGGCGCGTTCCCAAATACAGTATATGTGGACACAGAGCTGCCAACACAGGTGACAGTGCGGGTGACTTGAACAGAGCACTGCACGCGAGGCACCGTGATGGTGGGCAGGTTGAGATTGTGCACGGCCAAGGGGGAGAGCGACGCCCGTGGGAACTCCTTTTTCGCGCGGTTCAGGTCCTACCCGACGAGAAAATTCTGGTAGTCTTTCTCTCGAACGGCGTATGTGAGACCAGGGTCGAGCATAGCAGATGGGAACACATGCCCTGCGCCCATTTCCGACGGGGTTGCGTCTCCTCCGGCTGAGCCTGCATTCTTGATAGGACTATTGCTCGTGTCAGTAAACCTCGCCATCGTCATCATTGCAGACATAACCTGAGCCAGGGTCTAGTAGGGGAACTTCTGGATAATTAACGCCGCTAGCCCTGCTAAATGCGGGGTGGCCATGGAAGTACCCGTGAGGCGGGCGATTGTACCTGGCTCGCCGATTTTCTTTGAGGGAAAAACGGCTAGAAGGTCAACGCCAGGCCCGATGAAATTTGGCTTGAGAATGTCGTTAGCTAGCAGGGAGGTGTCAAAATTAGCTTAGAACCTAGGAAACTAGGTGAGGGCGTCGAGAGTAGCGAGAGGGAAGAGGGGTTCAATAAAGAGCAAAGGTACAAAGATATAGGCAAGAACTAGGGTAATGATGTGCACCACCAAACGGGAAACATAACTACACTAACACTACAGACAATTATATAAATATGAATAACATATTTCGACACACCCCCATAATTGTTTGTAGGTGTGAGTGTAGTAACGCCCCCTAAAGAGGGTACACCATGCAGAGTGTAGCGGAAGTAGGCAGGAGCAGTGACAACCAGTGCAGTGGTAGCAGATTCAGCCGTAGCAACCCTGAGCCAAAGCAGAAACACAAAGCAGAAAAAGTAGCAAGTGTAGGGGCGGCAGGTCGCCTGAGGAGCAGGCTCTGTGGCTGCAACGTGCAGCAGGACAGCAGCGGCTCGACGGCAGCACCTGCAGGCCCCAGCAGCAGAAAACAAAAAACAGGGCAGGTGGCGACAGGGGCGACAGCTGGAGGTGCCACTGTAGCAGCGGGCGGCAGCAGCAGATGCCTGGATGCAGGAGGAGGAGCTGAGAGAACGCAGAAAACAGAGAACAGAAGGGAGAGAGGAGGAATGAGGAGGCGGCTGCGGCTGGTGCTGAAGCCACGCTCCCACCACCCCCTCACCCTCCCCCCCCACAGCGACTGGCGCTGCAGGTAGAGAGCAGAGGAGGTGGGCAGCGGCTAGCGCTACAGAGTCCCTCCCGCCACGCCTTCACCCTCCCCCCCACAGCAGGACGCACGGCCCAGCGGCAAAGAGCAGGAGCGGCGCGGGCACTGCTGCACATCCCGCCCGCCATCCACCCCCGCCATCTCCCCCAACAGCAGTTTCCGCGGCAGGGCGTGCGACAAGCCCGCAGATGCGGCGGAGAATAGGGAGGGACGGTCGAGCGGGGGCAGGGCGCTGGCGGTTACTGCAGCCTGGCCGCCACACCCTTCCCCCCTTCTTCCCCCTCACAGCGACCGACGCTGCCGACGTGCAGAGCCGCGACGGGGGGGAAAAATTTAGGGGGGCCGGACGAGGGTGCGACGAATCCGCAGTGGTCGCAACCGAGGCCGCAAACGCTCTCGCGCAGCTTGCCACCGAGATCGTTTCGACGGTCGCGACCGTTGCAACCGTCGTAACAACGGTCGCGACGGGGGGCGTGACGAGCGCCGTGAGCGGGGGGATACGTGGTGGGCCCATGGGGAAAATGAAATTAGGTCTTAGGACGACCTAGCTCTTAATACCATGTCAAAATCCCAACCACTAGACCATTGGGATAAAAGGGCTTGTTTCAGTAGCGGGTCCGTGCGCCCATAACCCCCCAGGCGAACGCGCCTGTAACCCTCTCCAGGATCAATCGGGCATCCACAGTGCAGATCTACTAACACCCCCCCACACTGGGAGGCCCAGGACTAAGCTCAGCGGCAACGGCCTACATGTGCATACACCGGGAATCGAACCTGAGACCGCTCTGATACCATGTTAAAATTAGCTTAGAACCTAGGAAACTAGGTGAGGGTGTCGAGAGTAGCGAGAGGGAAGAGGGGTTCAATAAAGAGCAAAGGTACAAAGATATAGGCAAGAACTAGGGTAATGAGGTGCACCACCAAACGGGAAACATAACTACACTAACACTACAGACAATTATATAAATATGAATAACATATTTCGACAGGAGGTGCGGGGTGTGTCAAAGGGCGGTACGACGGGCCCACGAGAAGAATATTTAGCGACCATGGGGGCTGAAGAGGCAGAAGTGAAGGTGATTCCTTCGTCGCCAGTGAGCATGGCGCTGCTGTCGCCCATGCTGTTGCTGCTGGCAGTGGCACTAGCGATGGCGTTGAGAGGGTTGAAGGACTGAGTGCTGGTGGCCGAAGAAGCTAAGGACGCCCACCTGGCTATCGTGCTGCGGGAGGAGAGAAGGGTGGAGGGCGGGTTGGGGAAGAAATGGCTGGGTGAGTCACACATGCAGCATCAGTCCACAGTAACATGCCAACAACAACAACATTGACGCGTCGAATGGGGACAGCCACGCTATGCATGCCTTAGTAAACGTTCCGAGCATGACTGATAACCGGACACAGGCAAAGGCAAGGTGCAGCAACTTTGCAAGGCGCAAAGGCAAGGTGCAGCAACTTACGCTGTAGAAACCACGAGAGCGGCAGCAACTCACCTAGCACCAACGCAAAGGGCGAAGGGTCCGAAATTGGCCACCGTGCGGTAAACACCTCCCTGCGACCGCCCAGGGGCTCCTCCATTGCCTGCAGCCAGGGCCACAAACACCCCCGCAGTAATGGTCCTCAGATATAGCAGGTCGCTGAAATAGTCCTGGCTCGGATCCACGCCTGGTAGAGAGATGGAGATCACATCCACTCTGTCCGCCACGGCTTGATTAATGGCCGCCGCGATGTCTGCTCCGTTGCACACACCACTTCCGTTGTTGCGCGACCAGTAGACCTTGTACACTGCCAGACGAGCTGCAGGCGCCATGCCGCTCATCTGCCCGCCACCGTGCATGCTCACGGGGTTCCCCGCCGGCGCCCGCGCACCACGTGCCGTGGCCGTTGCCATCGCGTGGCGACAGCCAGTTGCTTTGCATCGAGGGAGAGCCAAACGCGGCGTAGAAAGCCCGGGCACCAATCACCTTGTTGTTGCACCGGAACGAGCTCGACTGCTCACACTTGCCCTTGCACCCAGACCGGAGTTTCGAGCTCATCCCTTGATTGCTGAACGACGAGTGTTCGGTCCAAATGCCGGTATCAACAATCCCCACCACAGTCCCGTAGCCCGCCTTGCTCTGACCGCCCACGGCCGGCCAGACCTTCCCTGGGAGCTTGAGGAACTTGGGCGAATCGGTGGTTTGGGGGCGGAGCATGCGGCTGGGGGTCACGGACGCGACGTCGGGATGGCGCTGCAGCCGCCACACCTGGCGCGCGGTGAGGCGCGCCGCGAAGCCGTTGGAGGTGTGCTTGTAGCTGTAGATGAGGTCCGCGTTCGTACGCCCGCCTCAGATGCCACCTGCGCCTGCTGCCGCTGCAGCAGCGTCGCGAACGCCGCCATATGCGGCCGGTCCATGCTCAGCCGCATTCGGCGCCTTTTGCGCTCGCCGTTGCCACCGTTTGACGCCGCGGGCGAAGACACAGTTGCGTTGGGGCCCGAAAAGGTGGAACTCCTGGCATGATTGGCAATGTCAGCAGCGCTGTGGACAGAGCTAGGAGTCGTAGTAGTGTCGTCCAAGTCCACGGCTTCATGCTTCGCCGCCCTTCGAGTCGAAGACGCTGCATTCGGCCCTGCCGGCTCGGCATCATTACTAGCGGCGTCTTGAAGATCGATCTCCGGTACGGCGTCATCCCCGTTGTTCTCGCTGCTGCCGTCCTCCCACGTGGCAGTGGCAAGGTAGCCCGCAATTCCGCCGCGGTATTCAACCAAGGGTGGTGCGGAACTCAGGTGCACGATGTAGACGGACCCGCTGTCGCCATTGTCGCCACTACCGCCACTAGCGGGCGCTTCAAGGGGCTGGAACTTTTCGCCGTCGCGCCACGCTCGGATCGCACCGGACGGCTGTGCTGCTAGCAACATCGCACCAAGTGTCATCAGCAGCATTGCAACGGCAGGGCGGTTACGGGCCATGTTAACCACCGCGATGAGAGATTCTAGCGTCGAGGTAGAACTCGTTGCTCCGAGACGAATAAACGAAATTCAGATGGGATGAATCGACTACGAGGCTGCCCTGTTGTATCCTTCCTCCGACCTTCCTCTTCTTGAGTTCCACTCCACACTTGGTTGAAGCCATGTCGCATCATGCACGGCGCGACATTAGCAGGATGACATGATGAGCATCTGGTGGGTGTCCGATCCGAACCGAAAATAACGGACGGGGCGGGATCGCCGGGAACTTAAAGGCCACACCCCGAATTACACAACGAAGTCAACGAAAAAATTATAGGTTCGGAAAACCCGAGAAGGAGGTTCGGTGGGAGAATCGAGAACCAATCACGTAAAAAACCCACTCAAACTTTCGACCAATCACATCAAAGTGGTGACAGTTTTGGGGCCGACACGGTAATTCTGGATGTGTCCTTTAAAGCAGCGGTATAGATACTTCGCGGTATTTTTTTAGGTTATTTAGGATGCACATCCAACGACGCACACTAATTTGCTTACGAAAAAACCTCTTCCAGAATCAGTAGGTGCGAGCTGGTCAAACGGAACTGGCGAAATCCGCCAGTTTCGTGAAGATTTTTTGTTGAGAAACAACCCTCGGCGACTCCGCGATAATTTCGTGAGGTTGGGTTTGGGAGGGGATTGGCGAATTTGTATAGCCAATCAAGAGCAGGGGGTTGTGTTGTGAAACGCACCTCGCCATCAAAGCAGAGGGCTACCTGGTTTTCAAGTGATAAACCAGAGGCCCTCCCGCCAGATATGTAGACGACAACTTTAAGGGAGAGAACATTGATGGTGAATCTCGGCCGTGCACGACACGGGTCCGACAGCACCTAGAATCGCACATGGACAAGGAAACTTGTGATTGGCGTTGAATTAGGTTCTTAACTCAAGCCTTAGTTGCCTAGGGTTGAGGTAGGAAGGTTGAGTGTCGAGAGAAAAGGGTTGGCCAAAGAGGGTGATTCAATATTGAGCAAGGGTACAAATAGGAAAGAACATGCAAGGAAAGAAGGTGCACTACCTACAAAACATAATAACTACACTACAACTACAAGCAGTTATTAAAGATATAAAACTTATTTCGACACGCCCCCATAGTTGCTTGTAGGAAGAAGTGTAGTTACGCCCCCTGAAGGGGTACATGTCAGTAGAGCTACACTGTGAGATCCCCGATCGATCCTAGGGGGGGTTACAGGCGTGTTTGCCTGGGGGGTTATGGGCGCACTGACCCGCTACTGAAACAAGCCCTTTTATCCCAATGGTCTAGTGGTTGGGATTCTGACATGGTATCAGAGCGGTCTCGGGTTCGAATCCCGGTGTATGCACATGTTGGCCGTTGCCACTGTGCTCAGTCCTGGGCCTCCCAGTGTGGGGGGGTGTCAGTAGAGCTACACTGTGAGATCCCCGATCGATCCTAGGGGGGGTTACAGGCGCGTTTGCCTGGGGGGTTATGGGCGCACTGACCCGCTACTGAAACAAGCCCTTTTATCCCAATAGTCTAGTGGTTGGGATTCTGAGAGTACACCATGCAGAGTGCGCAGCGGAAGGAGAGAAGTACCAAGGAGGAGGTGAATGAGGGATGAGGAGAGGAGGTGGGGGGGAGCCACGCGACGAACCCCTCTTACAAACCCCCAAGTCCATACCCCCTTTCAGCCACGCCCCTAAACCACACCCCCTTTCAGCCACCCTCTTAAACTTCGCCACCCGGAACCGCACCCTTGCGCCACCCCCTCACCCTCCCCCCACAGCGGCACGTGCGGCAGTGAGAAAGAGAGAAGGAGGAGCGACAGCAGGTTGCTACCCCCAAACCCCCACCCCCCCCACTGCTGAACGCGCAACAGGGCGAGAGAGGGGAAGGCGAGTAGCGGAATAGCGGTGTGGCGCAGCAGCGCACTGTCAGAGGTCCACTGGTGATCCCCGATTGATCCTAGAGAAGGGTTACATGCACTTTGGCCTGGGGGGTTATGAGCGCACTGACCCGCTACTTAACAAGCCCTTTTATCCCAATGGTCTAGTGGTTGGGATTTTTACATGGAATTAGAGCGCAGGTCTCGGGTCCGAATCCCAGTGTATGCACTTCGGGCATCCCAGTGCAGGGGGGTGTCAAAGGTCCACTGGTGATCCCCGATTGATCATAGGGAAGGGTGACAGACACTTTGGCCTGGGGGGTTATGGGCGCACTGACCTGTTATTTAACAAGCCCTTTTATCCAAATGGTCTAGTGATTGGGATTCTGACACGCACGGACCTGCGTCAACCACCCACGCCCCCCCCTTCCCCCCGCCACCTCCTCCTACAGTGGACGACGCGGCGACGGGAAGTAGGGCGCCCGCGGCGATGCAGGTCGCCCACGGGCGATGGAAAGGAGGTCGCCCGCGGCGACGAGAAGCAAGTCGCCCGCGGCGACGGGAAGCAGGTCGCCCGCGGCGACGGGAAGCAGCTCGCCCGCGGCGACGGGAAGCAAGTCGCCCGCGGCGACGGGAAGCGGGGCAGCAGGGCGTCCGAGATGACGGGATGCGGGGCGCCGTATGGGGCTCGACATCGCATCCGTCGCGGCCGGCACCCTGAGCGCTGTGACGAGCGCCACAACGGGCGCGACGGGTGCTGCGACAAGAAACGCGACGGGGAGCGCCATGGCTAGCGGTGGGCCAAGGAATGTGATAGCTTTGATACCATGTTGAATTAGGTTCTTAACTCAAGCCTTAGTTGCCTAGGGTTGAGGTAGGAAGGTTGAGTGTCGAGGGAAAAGGGTTGGCCAAAGAGGGTGATTGAATATTGAGCAAGGGTACAAATAGGAAAGAACATGCAAGAAAAGAAGGTGCACCACCTACAAAACATAATAACTACACTACAACTACAAGCGGTTATTAAAGATATAAAACATACTTCGACAGCTGGCCGCGAAGATTTGGTTAAAGTTATATTTTGGTTGTAACCAATTGGTATATCCATTTCCTAGATGAGCACATGCAAACCCCCTCTTGAGGGCTGGCGGAACACACCTGCACGGGGGTGGGTTCGATCCCAGGACCTCATCCTTCGAAAGTGCCTCTTTCTACTAACTAGGCCACTTCTGGATGGTCGCGAAGATTTGGTATTTCCCGGCTGGTTTATGCGTTTGCTGGGCCACTGTTCGTGGGGTCGGACCTACACTACAATAGCCCAAATTAGCGGCACCCATGTACAATACATGGAGTTATATGCTATTATGCTTTTATGCAGCATAAAACTCTTCTGTGAAGTAGCAGCTAAATGGACATATGGATTAAGACCCTAATCCTATAGCCTACTAACTGTACTTGCTACGGTAGATAGGGAACGTGAGGAATACATGCAAATTTGGGTTGGTCCACTGTATTAGTGCCTACCAGTAATACACATTTCCTCCACATCACGGCAGCTCCATCCATCACTCTGCAACCAGCTACGTCTCGACAATCACACTTTCGCCATCCGGTCTGGCACACAGCAGCAGCAGGGCCTATGACCCTCAACTCTCTGCGCCGCAAGCTACAAGCGCAGCGCTTCCCATCGGGTTTGGGGCAGTGGTGGAAGCAGAAGAGGCAGAGAGCAAGTGAGAATTAGGCTGTGTCTGTTCGTGTGCATGGGCTGTTGACATGTGCAAGTAAATTAGAGCAGCAGGTATAATCTAGATTAGACAATGGAGAGAACAGCAATGCAAGCATCCTGCATCCCTAGGCATGCAACCTGCAGTCTATCCCAGCGATACTATCCCAAGAAACCACACAGATTCCTAAGGAGCAGCATAGCATTAATGAATCACATGACATGTCCCTACCAAGAGCCAGTTCACGGTTAGTGCCAAGCCCAACACCAATCCATGCCATGGGACACCCACACTCCTGACAAACACACCAACAGCAACGCCTAGCAAACACGTCTTCTCAAGCAGCACTCAGCAGCATCGGCCCCATCTTATCCCATCCCACCCCACCCCACCCAGCCCCACCCACCCCTTAGCGGGAAATCGGCTGAACCACGAGAGGAGAGCGCACGCTGTGCCCCTTGTCGTCCTTCCACACAATAAACCCGTACTTGAAGCCATTGCTGGGTGTTACCACCGTGGCAATAAGCGTGTAATTCGCCTTCTGCCCCGGAGAAAGCGTGAATCTCCCAGGCCCTACAAACACCCTGACGCCCTGGGACGGACTCCCAGATACAGTGTATGTGGACACAGAGCTTCCAACGCAGGTGACTGTGCGGGTGACTTGAAGAGAGCCCTGCAGGCGAGCCAGCGTGATGGTGGGCAGGTTGAGATTACGCACGGCCAAGGGGGAGAGAGACGCCCCTGGGAACTCCTTTTTCGCGCGGTTCAGGTCCTGCCCGGCCAGGAAATTCTGGTAGTCTTTCTCTCAAACGTCGTATGTGAGACCAGGGTCGAGCATGGCAGGTGGGAACACATGCCCTGCGCCCATGTCCCACGGGGTTGCCTCCACACCCGAGAATTCAGTCTAGGGCTGTTGCTCATGTCAGTCACCCGTGCGGTCGTCATCAATGCTGACATGACCTGAGCCGGGCTCCAGTCAGGGTAATTCTGGATGATTATTGCGGCTAGCCCCGCCAAATGCGGGGTGGACATGGAAGTACCCGTGCGGCGGGCGGTCGTGCCCGGCTCACCGATTTTCTTGGAGGGAGCAGCGGCTACAAGGTCAACGCCAGGCCCGATGATATCAGGCTTGAGAATGTCGTTAGCTGGCAGCGGAGGGCGGGTTGTGGCATTGGGCGGTAAGAGCGGCCCACGGGAGGAAATGTCAGCGACCCTGGGGTCGGAGGAGGCGGCGGTGAAAGTAATTCCGCCATCGGCAGTGAGCGTGGCGCCGCTGTCGCCCATGCTGTTGCTGCTGTTGGTGCTGCCAGTGGCGCTGGCGATGTTGGTGGTGCGGGCTGCAGCTAAGGACGCTCCTTTAGCGATGGTGCTGCAGGAGAAGGGGAAGCACGGAGGGGGGATTGGGAAAGAAGCGTGGAGGGCGGAATGGGAAAGAAGCGTGGAGGGCGGATTGGGAAAGAAGCGTGGAGGGCGGATTGGGAAAGAAGCGTGGAGGGCGGATTGGGAAAGAAGCGTGGAGGGCGGATTGGGAAAGAAGCGTGGAGGGCGGATTGGGAAAGAAGCGTGGAGGGCGGATTGGGAAAGAAGCGTGGAGGGCGGATTGGGAAAGAAGCGTGGAGGGCGGATTGGGAAAGAAGCATGGAGGGCGGATTGGGCAAGAAGCGTGGAGGGCGGATTGGGCAAGAAGCGTGGAGGGCGGATTGGGAAAGAAGCGTGGAGGGCGGATTGGGAAAGAAGCGTGGAGGGCGGACTGGGAAAGAAAGAGGCAGGTTGAGTCATGCACATCATGCAGCAGCACCAGTGGTACATGGTGCCATGGATGGCAACAGCAATGCGGCTGAAGGGGGACAGCCACGATGCATCCATGCCGTGTGATGATGATCACACAGTCAAAGTTACGAGCATGTCTGGTGATCATGATGATGTTCCGACCCCACACATGTAGGCAGGCACTGCTAGAACGCTGCGCTACACGAGTCAGAGTCGGTCAGTGGAAACTACGGCAGCAGCGGCAGCGGCTCACCTGGCGCCAACGGTGAGGACGAAGGGAGAGAAATTGGCCACCGTGCGGTAAATCCCTCCCTGCAACCGCCCGGGGGCTCCACTGTTGCCCGCGGACATGGCCACAAACACCCCCGTAGCGTTTGCCCTCAAATACACGAGGTCGCCGAAATAGTCTTGGTTGGCACCCAAGCCTCCTAGAGAGAGGGAAAGAACATCCACACCGTCCGCCACGGCCTGATTAACGGCCGCAATCACGCCTGCTCCGTTGCTGAGACCTCCGCGTCCATTCCTGTCAGTCCATGAGACCTTGTACACTGCCAGACGAGCTGCAGGCGCCATGCCGCTCATCTGCCCGCCGCCCTACATGCTCACGGGGTTGCCCCCCGCTGCACCCGCGCACCACGTGCCGTGGCCGCTGCTGTCGCGCGGCGAGAGCCAGTCCTTTTGCAGCGAGGGTGAGCCGAACGCGGCGTAGAAAGCCCGGGCGCCAATCACTTTGTTGTTGCACCGGAACGAGCTCGACTGCTCGCACTTGCCCTTCCACCCGGAGGGCAGCTTCGAGCTCATCCCTGCATCGCCAAACGACGGGTGTTCAGGCCAGATTCCCGAATCGATAATCCCCACCACTATCCCGTCGCCCGCCTTGCTCTGACCGCCCACTGCCGGCCACACCTTACCCGGGAGCACGAGGAACTTGGGCGAGTCAGTGGTCTGGACGCTGAACATGCGGCTAGGGGTCACGGACGCGACGTCAGGATGACGTTGCAGCCGCCACACCTGGCGCGCAGTGAGGCGCGCTGCGAAGCCGTTGGAGGTGTGCTTGTAGCTGTAGATGAGGTTTGAGTCGAGTACGCCCGCCTCAGATGCCACTTGCGCCTGCTGCCGCTGCAGCAGCGTCGCGAACGCCGCCACCTGCGGCCGGTCCATGCTCAGCCGCATTCGGCGCCGCGCGGCGCGCCCGCCGTTGCCGTTGCCGCCGCCGCTGCCTGTGGCTCCTGCGGGCGCAGGCGCAGTTGCATTGGGCTCTGAGTAGAAAAAACTCCAGTCGCCGTCCCAGTAAGGCAGCGGCACGGTCTGCTTCACCGCCCGCGACGGCGCTGCATCATCATCAGCCGCAGCAGCGCTGCGAGGTGGAGCCGGAGTCGTTGCGTCCTCGGCTTCATGCTTCGCCGCCCGCAAAGACGCTGCGTCTGCTCCTGTGGCGACGTCGGTGGCTGCAAGGTCCATCTTCGGTACGGATTCGTCGTCGTCGGCCCCGTCATTCGCGTCGCGGCCGTCGTCCCACGTGGCAGTGGCGGGGTAGCCGGCGATTCCGCCGCGGTATTCGACGAGCGGTGGCGCGGAGCTCAGGCGCACGATGTAGACGGACCCGCTTCCGCCATTGCCGCCATTGCCGCCGCTCGCTGGCGCGTCAAGGGGCTGGAACCTTCCACCGTTGCGCCAGGCTCGCCGGTTCGCGCTGGACGGCTGTGCTGCTAGCAGCAGCGTGGCGAGTATCATCAGCAACATCGCAACGGCAGGACGGTACCGAGCCATGTTGATCACGAGAACAGATTCTAGTAGCGTCTAGATAGTAGAACTCGTCCGACGAGTCGTTGCTTCGAGAGGAACAAACGGATTTCAGATGAGATGATGAATTGATCGCGGGGCTGCCCAGTTTTATCCGCCCCTCCGTCCACCCTCGGGTTCCACATTTGGTTGGGGGGCTGAATCGCATCGCGTCGCGCGCGGCGCGGTGTTTGCTGGGAGAAGACGAAGATCTGGTGGGGTCTGAAAACCGAAATGTCGGACGTGGCTGACCGCTGAATGTAGCCGGGAGGATGTAGCCGGGAATTCAGGGGAGAGAACATGGATGGTGCATCCGGGCCGTGCCCAGCATGGGTCTAGTAGCACCTCGAATCGCAGGGAGACAAGAGTATGCGAACTAGAAAAATAGTGACTGGACTTGGTCATGGAGAGCTCATGCGGTTCAGCCTTAAGTTTAGGATGTAGCGTGATCTTTGTTTGCTGAGCCACTGTTTGTGGAGGCGGACCCAGACCACAAATCCCGTACGCATTGTTATGAGTTGTACGAAAGAAGAGTGCGCAGAATGCAATATCGCGGAAGTGATTACAACTAAGCAAACAACGAGGCCTAGGCATAATATAGCACAGCTAGCTAGGCCGAGGTCGCGGAGTCGCGCGAAGGTTGGGTGCAGGTTTGGGATCGGGAAACCCGAAGGCGACGCGGGAGACGTTCGGAAGGCGAGGTTGACGGACCGAACCTGAATTCCGAAAGTTGGAATTGTACGCGTAAGAGATGCCTCAGTAAGGAATTAGCGAAATTCCTTACACTACCCCCCCCCCCCCCCTTAAAGCAAGGGTGCACTTTGGGGGGGGGTGGAGGCAAAGGTTTATCACTTGTGTTATGAGATGTACTAAGAGTGCGCGGAAGACTTTATAAAAAGGATGTCGAATCCAGAATTGTCGAAATATGTTTGTCATATTTTATAACTGCTTGTAGTTGTAGTGTAGTTATTGTGCTTTGTAGGTGGTGCACCAACTTTGTTTCCTATGCTATATGTTCCTTGAAACCTATAGTGAAACCCATTCTTCCCAATTTCTCTCTTCCAACTCACTCTATACCTCGCCTAGGAGAAACCCGCTCGATATCCTACTTGGGCCTAGGCTACTAAGCCTAGGCCCTACTTAATCTTCTCTCATTCTTCGTTCAACTCTCGACATGTTATCAGAGCGACGTTCGTTCTGGCCTCACGTTTCCGCTGCTACGATTTTCTGGTCGCGCGCCTAGGGCGCGTGACGAATTTTTCCTTGTCCCGCCCCCGGTTGGCGTGTGACGCCTTTTCTGCCCGTCGCGCGCCCCGTGGCATGCGACGGTGCCCTTAACCTGCCCATCGTGCGCCCCGTGGCACACGATGGTGCCCTGCTCGTCGTGCGCCCCGAGGCACACGATCGGGCCCTTGCTCTTATCTTACCCGTCGTGCGCCCCGTGGCACTGGCACGCGACGGGCCTTTCCGCCCCTGCTCTCCCTGAAGCCGCCCCTGATCCATCTGCGCCGACACCGTTTAGCCGCTCTGCGGCTTTCTTCCCGCCCACCCCCCTCCTCCTTTGTCTCCCTGCACCCGTGGGGAGGAGGGTATGGGGGTGGCGGGTGTTGGAGTGTTGGGTCAACTCTCTCCCTTCCCCTCCTCCTTCTTTCAGTCCCACCGCTGCAGCTGCCGCTGGGGGGGGAGGGTGTGAGGATGTGGGGGAGCAGGGGGAGTGGTACCGGGGTGGCGGGTGTGAGGCAACATGCAGCCGTCCCTCCACCTCTCCTCTCTTCCCCCCTTCTCTGCTGCTCCTGCAGCAGTGTGGGGGAGGGGAAGGAGGGGGGTGAGGAGATGGAGGGGGTAACTCTTCAATGTTAGCCTGCCTGCAGTACCTGCTGTTGCTTGTTATTATTTTGCATGGTGTACCCCCTCAGGGGGGTAACTACATTTCTACCTACAAGCATTATGGGGGCGTGTCGAAATATGTTTGTCATATTTTATAACTGCTTGTAGTTGTAGTGTAGTTATTGTGCTTTGTAGGTGGTGCACCAACTTTGTTTCCTATGCTATATGTTCCTTGAAACCTATAGTGAAACCCATTCTTCCCAATTTCTCTCTTCCAACTCACTCGATACCTCGCCTAGGAGAAACCCGCTCGATATCCTACTTGGGCCTAGGCTACTAAGCCTAGGCCCTACTTAATCTTCTCTCATTCTTCGTTCAACTCTCGACAAGAATGTCAAGAATGATAAAGAGGCATGCATTTATAGGGTCGAAACCGTGGTAGGCGAGGACCTCGGGACGTGGATGGGTTTGGAAGTGTCGCGATTGGTGCGGGGCGACTCGGGGGTGGTTCGGGCCGAAGTATAGGCCGAACCTCGAAACTGACGCGAAGTGCTCGGGGTCGTCCTCGCTAGGAGCAGCCTCTACAGTAATGAATTCGTATTCATTACACTCTCCCACCTTCTAAATAAGGTGCCCTTATATGTAGGCGAGTCTTGCAGTAGCCGGAAAACTGCAGATCTCGGTCGAAAACCGATCTGACGGTGCGGAAGCATGTTGACTTTCGAGTTGACGCGTGGCTGAGCGCGTTGACCAGGCGAATTTCTAAGAGTTGGGATGTCAGCCGTTGGTACTGCCGATGTCGATCGGGCGGTTTGAAAGCGAATGTCGATTTGAAATCTTTCGACGAAGGAAGACCGTTGATGTCGCCGATGTGTATCGGATGGCTCCGATGAACGTCATGTCGGCAGGAAATCTGACGCGTTGTCAGAGATCGATGAATCTGGTGCCGTCGATGCCGATGAAGCCATCGCGTGCGTCCGTCGTGCTGGGTGTGTCAGACGAACTGTCAGAAATAACTGCCGAAATGTCAGAGACCTGCCAAGAACAGTGCGTGAGTACTCTTTCTCTCCCCCCTGGGAAGATAACTGCTGCCCACAAAATGTGCACAGCTGCACGGGCACAAAAACCACAACCACCCTGACGCAGAATACCAAGTATTATGGCCGTCCGCCTGAAATTCAGCCGCTGTGCAGTCGAAATTGCTGTCGGTGGCGAAATTTTCACTGTCGAAAATCCCGAAAATGTCAAGGGTAAATTCTGTTGAAGTCCCTTCGAAATAATATCGTTTTTGCAGGAACTCGGCATGAAGAATTTCTTCGTGTTGTCTTGTTGTCACGACTATTGCTGCAGCATCCCTCGTGACTGCCACCTCGAAAACCCCCGCGTGGCAGTATCGAATCACTTGACTGCTGCCCAATCTCCAGTTGGCAGCTGCTGCAATCCTGAAATTGCTGCCGTTTGTCTTGTTTGCAGGCGAAAATCCTCGCTGTAGCTTCTCCAGCTGTCGGTGCACCCGGCCGTCTTGTCCAGGCTCGCCGAGGCCCTTGTCGCGTTGCTCCGAAAACTCCCGGGCAGGGACGAAAACAGCTGCTGCTCTTCCCCCTGACCTTGCCAATATTTTTTCAAACACGAACTTGAACTGCCGATGACGTCAGCTACATTATCGGTGTTGTCGTGACTCGCCGAAAACCTCCGGGCAGGGGCGAAAACAGCTGTCGCCTTCTCCCCCCCACTTGTTGCAAAATTGTCCCTCGTGTTGCGGCTGGTACACCCGAGCAGCTTCCGATTTGAACGGCTACACACTGTGACGACGAGTGCCTTTGCGCGCTTAATCAAGCAGCACTGCAGTCGGCCGTCGGCACGGGTACTGTCAGCGACCGCACTGACTCCGTTAAAAAAAACTCTTGTCGGAACTGCTCGTTGCACCCGTAAATGTCGGAAATTTCCACACCACGTAAAGTCTTGGTCGCCTGCAAGTTGCCCCCCGAAAGAACCGGTGTGTCTAGCGTGCCCACCCGTCGCCATTTTTCTCTCCATGGTTAACCACACTAGCAACCTACCAACAGGAGGTGCTCTTTCGTGCGGAACCCGGAGTCATGGGTCTACCGGGACCGAATTTCACGGAACCTAGCCCGCATCGACGCCGCAGATCTCGCCGTAGAAGTTCCCCAGCTGGCTTCGAAGTACACCGTAAACCGCTGAAACAGCTGGCGAGCAGACGTTCAACCGTCTCCCACCGTTGGAATAAAACCCCGAAAATCATGGTTGTTGAAGCAGTCCCGAAGTATTTTCCGCCGCATAACCCCGACGTTTCCGCCGTTGACCCTGGTACTCCGACGTTCACCCGTCTTTGTACCCGTCGAAATTACTTAGCGAATCCCAGGTATCCTTGGCGATACACCGCTCGCCGCGCCTCCATGTAACAATATCAAACCCTTTCGGGGGTCTACCGAATAGACTCCGAAATTCGCGGTGGATTGGTGTACGAGCTCAACCTTTCACTCTGGAGATCTGCTGGAGCACCCACAAATTTCCCTCCATTTTTTTTTTTGGCTTCACCCCCCGACAATTTTGCTTGCCGCCGTTCACCCAGCGTCCGCTTTTGTCGGATGAGGTTTATCTCCGTATTGCCCGCGATTTTTCTGACATTCGGTGAAGGCGCGAATGCAATCGTAGCCGGGTCATGTTTATCGGATTAAACAGTCGGACCGGCCGCTTCGTTGCCCACCGCGTCTATCGCATTTAAAACTCCACAGCTTCGGAAAGCCCCTTCTTCGCCGCTACACCATGTCGGGTAGACCGTTGAATTAGGAGAAACTCCGACAGCTGCACCAACTGCTTCAGCTCCGACTTTTTCGGCGGGGTAACTGCCGCCGATGGTCCGGTTTTGTCGGGGCCGAGACAGTGTCGCTCCCAGAAATTTTCTTGTACGCCCTGCCGTCGAACCAGCGTCACCCGCGCCTTTCTAACCAGCACAGGGCTAAAACACAGGGCCCCACCTTTGGACATACACCTTGCCTTCGAGGCCTTCTGGGCGTGAGGTATGTGAAACGTCGGTAGACTTTGGCCGGTAGGGAGCTCCTTCTGCTAGCGCCTCTTAGCCGCAAATCTCGGCCTCAGCAAAAAGTCGTCGCAGTAGGTCGTTTTCTCCCCTCCTGAAG